TTGTGGATAAGGTCAAGGTTCTTCAGTAGGGGAAACAATACACATTTACAAGACTTTCTTTAATTGCTTCGATCTGTTTAAAACTATTTTGAAGCATTACTGAAGTAAAATCAATTGATTTGGTCCAGATCAAGATTTGGTTAAGGTCCCTGACATATCAGTGAAATGCATCTCTGAACGAGGCGCGTAGTAACACATGCGTGACAGGGCGTATACTGGCAGTGAACAGCATGTAACCTTGCGCCGCTCCTCCACCTAATCCCAACACTTACCCGGCTCTTTTTTTTAATTTTCGAAAGGACAAGTAACTTTGTAAGTATAAGGATTCTTATTCATATTTTTGCATTTATCGAAGGATAACATTTAGAATGTCATTCAGCTTAAAATCGCTGCTCTACGCTGAACAATGTTGTACTGTTTGTGACTGTGAATGCACAGAATAGAAAAACAAACCTTATTCAGGGCAATGAACCGCCTGGTTTCGAAGATGCGAAGAAAATCGAATTTTCTGGTTGATATTAATCTTTGATATGATAAATACGACATTCGTGAATTTTGACAACAGGATCAAACGGATGTCTACACACGCTAACTTTAGTTTACAATTAATTTTGAAGTGCAGATGTTGTCACGTGCGTGACCTCAGGTGCTGCGACAGCAGGTGTAGGGAAGGTCCGTGTTCACAACTGCCACCAGGTCGATAGGCTACACGGCGTTACACACATGCCTTCTCATGTTTGCTAGGCGTTTAATGTAAAGGGCCCCGTTCCACAAAGCGATCTTAGTGCTAAGTTGGTCGTAACTCCCATACTTTATCATAGGCTTACGACCAACGTAGCACTAAGATCGCTTTGTGGAAGGGGCCCCAGGAGTACCTCATGCTGCACTCGTTCTTATAGCGGAAGCGGCTCGCCTTGTAGAGGCGTGAGGCGCACGGTGCCCAGTCGTCAAAGGCGCCGCAATTAGCTGTGCAGAGTTGCATCCCTTAGACACAGCAGAGGTCCATGGTGTTGGGTTTGAATTCCGGTTCGCCCCGATCATGTTTCTATGTTTGCCAGCAGCATACCCTGGAGCGGTCGGGTAGCCTATTGGTTAAAGCGTTCGCTCGCCACGCCGAAGACCCGGATTCGATTCCTGACATGGGTACAATGTGTGAAGCCCATTTCTGGTGTCCCCCGCCGTGATATTGCTGGAATATTGCTAAAAGCGGCGTAAAACCATACTCACTCACTCACTCAGCAGCATACCCGTGCTCGTAGGTGTCACCCCAAAGTGGTAAACGTCTGAGACGTGCATCACTTGGGGCTTTCCGCCCAAATCAATCTGTCACGCCGTTGGAATACTGTTCAAAGTGGCGTTACACCCAACTGACTGAGTTATCGAATAAAGTCGCTTTCTTTCTGGACGGGCGAATCTCTCGCAGCAGCAATAGTGCGTAGTCGATCGACATGGTTAACATCCTCAAAGATACAATAATTATATTTCCATTCTATTACGATGGATACCTCGGACCCATATTTTCTTAGCGAGAAAAACATCTGTGTTGCATTAGAAACAAGGCCGTCGTGGCGAATTGGTACATGTGTTTATTATATTGTAATAGAATGGAAATATCATACATTGTATGATTGAGGATGCTAACGAGGTCGATCGGGACACGCATGTAAAATCGATATGAATACGAAATATGAAACTTGATATTCGATAACACAGAAGCGCCAGGACACGTCTAATATGTTTCTCGTATGACAATCATCGCTGTAAAATTCGTTGACATCAGTGAATCGCACGCGGCTGACATATCGCCTGGTCGGTTTAAATGACAGTTTGTCGATATTTTGAAAAATGGTTTTGCAGCAGTTCCTGGGTTATTTGAATCAAATAGGGCGATATGTTTTAGACAAAAAAAACAACAACTGAATAGAAATTATGATTTACAGTCTGTATGTCTTACTTGTTTTATGAAAAAGGAGCAAGAATGTGTTTTTATCGAATGAGTTACCAAATATTGTTCAAATGACAATATATCATCAATTCGTGAATGAGTGGGAGTGGTTTCACGCGTTTTTTCTTACCAATGTGCATAAGAAATGTGTGCATTTACTAATTAGAGCAAAAGTAATGTACTTCCCAATCGAAACGATGGCAATAATTTTGTTTTGAAAAAAGAGAGATTTATACACTGGGTAATCGAAGATTAAATAGATATATTTTTTTCAGTGATTTATGGAGAGTTTATACTATAGTGACATTCCGATTCCTAAATTGAATTCACCGCATTCTACTGAAGCTATATGTATAGTTTATAAATTTGTTTTATTTATATATTATCTTTTACAGTACAGAAAATGGCCACGATTTACACGTAGACCCTACATGCCCACGTGACCAAATTGATATTAATACTGGTTAATTTCAATATTGAACAGGACATATGTATATCCAACCAACCATAGACAGTGGCAACTGCCAGCACCACAACTGGGTGTCTGGTTCCAAGCGAAGTGACACATGGAGTTTATGTGGGTTTTACAACCTTGGCGTTTGCCCTCGTTGTAATAAAACATTCAGAGAGTGTGTCCCGTGTTCGCTCCGTGGCATATCAGATATGATGTTACACTGTTGTAAGCAGGTGTTGGACGAGTGTTCGTGTTCTCTTAAAGCGCCACAGCGGTTTAAATACTAGATCCACCCAGATTATGGTTCTAGGTTCGTTAGCACCACGCCCGTGCTCATGGGTTTCACTGCATTGCTAAATGTCTAAGACTTGCATCATTTCGGTCTTTCTTCCGCCAACAAGCTTATACACCGTGATATAACGGTTCAAAGTGCCGTTACCCAAACTCACTCACTCACTCTTTAAGGCGTCAGTTTCATGTACACCAACCTCCCCTTACACGCGAATGTACACTGTTGAAGTGTGTCTAGATCCTAATCACATACCTAGCCGAGTTTCTTGTCCCATTATTTTGTCGCGTGTACGGTCCGAACATGTTTAGCATTGTCTTTAACAGGTAGATTTGTTTAGAATCTAACAAATTCGACCCGTGAAGATCCGTGGTAGAATAGGTCTTCAGCAACCCATGCTTGCCGTAAAAGGCGACTATGCTTGTCGTAAGAGGCGACTAATGGAATCGGGTGGTCAGGCTCGCTAATTTGGGTGATGCATGTCATCGATCCCAATAGCATAGATCGATGCTCATGATACTAATCACTGGATTGTCTGGTCAAGACTCGACTATTTACAGACCGACTTCATATAGCTGGAATATTGCGTTAACAACCAACCAACCATCCAACCAACTGATGAATTTATTGTAAGTAATATAAAAAGGGACGTTTTCGATATGTTTTTGTTTCTTTTAGCGTTTAATTGAGATAAAGCAGTTTGGGGGTAATTTATATAACTTGGGGGGTCCATCGTGCTAATCAGAGATATTTTTTTATTATCATCTTCCGTTTCTATTAGTCGCCGCGAATAGCTGCAACATTGCTGATGCGGCGTTAAGCAATATTCACTCACTCACTCACTCCGTTTCTATTAGGAATGAAATCGGGCGGTCAGGTTCGCTGACTTGGTTGATTCATGTCATCATAGCCCAATTGCGTGGATCGATGCTCATGTTGTCAATTACTGGGTTGTCTGGTCCACACTCGATTATTAACATTGTATGCCATAAGATGTGACTATAACATACTTGTCTTTACACGTGTAAGTCTAAATGAGACATTATAATTAACCAAAATCCAACATTATGAAACTTTTTCTATTGTAGAAAGTTGTAAAATCGATGATACGTCAAAGCAGCTTTCGCTCACTCGCTGTATGTAAGCATTTATCAACAAAGAGCAACCATTAAATGCAGTCCCATACATCACTTCTCTGTAGGACAACGTTCCATTGTAATCGTGAATTATACATCGTACCGTTGTCCGTCGGACAAACGTCACGCAGCTATATGACAAGCTGAAATATTAAATACTGTTCCACCGTTAAATTAGAAGTTCACCGTCCCACAAATAACACATCGATTATGTTGTTGACAATACTCTCTGATAAGCCGCCGCCTGTCACACGTTGATGGATACAAGCCATTTCCCCACGTTGAGCGGCAGTACCAGCCACTTTGTAGCTATGATATGCGGTAGGCGAAAATTCAGCTTTAACCGGTACGGTTTGTTTAATTGCTTGATTTTGTATTATTGCTTTTTGTGCTTGCATTATTTTTAAATGTTTGTTTATTTTTTAAGGTTCGTGAAACTACCGAAAAAGCGCGATGTCTACGAGAGTTTCATGCTTAAAGGTAGGGAATGTTTTTCAGTTGATAGGCTGCTTGGTGGAGCCAGATGTCATGAGTTCATTTACGTGCAAAGTTCATGTCGTTTGTTTACACTTATTTTTGAATGTTATTTACTCAAATATACTTATATGTGAGAGTGGTTGAGAGAGAGGGAGAGGAGGACATATCGCCTGGTCAGTTTAAATGACAGTTTGTCGATATTATGAAAAATGGTTTTACAGCAGTTCCTGGGTTATTTGAATCAAATAGGGCGATATGTTTTAGACAAACAAAACGCGAACAACAACTAAATAGAAATTATAATATACAGTCTGTATGTCTTACTTGTTTTATGAAAAAGGTGCAAGAATGTGTTACAAAATATTGTTCAAATGACAATATGTCATCTATTCGTGAATGAATGGGAGTGGTTTCACTCGGGTTTTTTTTAACCAATGTCTCATGTGCAAAAGAAATGTGTACAGTTACTAATTAGAGCAATAGTAATGTACTTCCCAATCGAAACGATGGCAATGACTTTGTTTTGAAAAAAAGAGATTTATACACTGGGTAATCGAAGAGAGGAGAGAGAGAGGGAGAGAGAGAGAGTAAGAGAGAGAGAGAGAGAGAGAGAGAGAGAGAGGGGAGGGTCAGGAGAGAGAAGGAGGGAGATAGGGAGAGGTATCATATGTTACATAGCAGAGAGCAGTTTTCAATACAACAATGCAATTCACTATCCACGCGCACAGTGCAGACTCGCCAGTTGATGCACCATTAAGTGCAGCTATGTGCACATTCTACACAGCTGTTCGGGTCACCATTATCGATATTGTAGGTAGTCAGAGGGCAGTAAGACATATGTTATGCATTTGGGTCATCAATCGATTCTATTGTATGCACATCAGTTTTTTTTATGAAGTTGCTATGTAACTCACACCAGGCGCATCCGTCTGGATGAGAGAGATGTGCAACAGTTGGTTGGTGTGTACACGTGTGTTCGCCATTCACGGCAGGTTGAGTAGCGATGTTCTGAATACGGGGAACGAATCAGGTTAAGTACTTAACGATCAACTAGAAATCCTGTCAATACATATGCATTTATGCTCATATCGACATTTAGTTAAACGCAGCATGGATGGCCTTGAAGCAGATAATTAAATACAAGCAACACAGCTCTGCTGGGTGTTATAATGTTATAATGTAATTACTTGTTACATATATACATGTTGTGTGATATAAGGCTATTGGTTGTTGTATGTATGCACGTTGTTTGATACGAGCTGTTTGTATGCAGGGCTGGTACCAGAGATGTCGTACTTCACCATCATTGCACTCGTGTACAGCGCGGCCAAGATGGCGCTAGGTAGGTATGTGCAGAAGGATGCTTCAAATGTAGAAATATGGAAGGGTGTCGCAATATGTCCAATGTAGACATATGACAGGGTGTCGTAAAATGTCAAATGTGGAAATATTGAAGGATTTGCCCATATGGCGTATTGAGGTTTGTTGAAGGGATCGCCAGAATGGCGCATTTCGGTTTATCGAAGGATTTGCAAATATGGCGTATGAAGGTTTATCGAAGGATTTGCCAACATGGCGTATGACGGTTTGTCTAAGGGATCGCCAATATGGCGTATGTCGGTTTATTGAAGGGTTCGCCAATATACCATATGTAGGCAAATCGAAGAATACGCCAAAAGGCGTGTGTATGTGTGTTGACTGGTTCACCAATGTGGCGTCAGGTAGCTAGCTACAGGTGGATGGCCTGTCTGAGGTATTTTGAAGAGTTTGCCAATATGGCGTAGGTAGATACATTCAAGGGCTTGCCAATGTGGCCTATAGCTGTGTAGGTATATTCAAGGGTTTCCCATTATGGTGTATGCAAGCATTTCTAAGGGTTGGCACATTGGTATATTGATTGGTTGGCCAATGTGGAATTAGGTTGATGTATTAGATACGTACATTGAACAATGGTCTTTTTCAAATTGAACTTATGTTTGTGTATTGAAGAGTTTCTTCAGTTGGACGTATGTATGTGTATTGAAGGGTTTCTCGATTTGCACGTATGTGTGTATAGTGAAGGGTTTCTCCAATTGCACATATGAATGTATAGTGAAGGGTTTCTCCAATTGCACGTATGTATGTATAGTGAAGGGTTTCTCCAATTGCACGTATGTATGTATAGTGAAGGGTTTCTCCAATTGCACATATGTATGTATAGTGAAGGGTTTCTCCAATTGCACGTATGTATGTATAGTGAAGGGTTTCTCCAATTGCACATATGTATGTATAGTGAAGGGTTTCTCCAATTGCACGTATGTATGTATAGTGAAGGGTTTCTCCAATTGCACGTATGTATGTATAGTGAAGGGTTTCTCCAATTGCACATATGTATGTATAGTGAAGGGTTTCTCCAATTGCACGTATGTATGTATAGTGAAGGGTTTCTCCAATTGCACATATGTATGTATAGTGAAGGGTTTCTCCAATTGCACGTATGTATGTATAGTGAAGGGTTTCTCCAATTGCACGTATGTATGTATAGTGAAGGGTTTCTCCAATTGCACGTATGTATGTATAGTGAAGGGTTCCTCCAATTGCACATGTGTATGTATAGTGAAGGGTTTCTCCAATTGCACGTATGTATGTATAGTGAAGGGTTTCTCCAATTGCACGTATGTATGTATAATGAAGGGTTTCTCCAGTTGGTTGTATGTATGTATAGTGAAGGGTTTCTCCAATTGCACATATGTATGTATAGTGAAGGGTTTCTCCAATTGCACGTATGTATGTATAGTGAAGGGTTTCTCCAATTGCACATATGTATGTATAGTGAAGGGTTTCTCCAATTGCACGTATGTATGTATAGTGAAGGGTTTCTCCAATTGCACGTATGTATGTATAGTGAAGGGTTTCTCCAGTTGGCCGTATGTATGTATAGTGAAGGGTTTCTCCAATTGGCTGTATGTATGTATAGTAAAGGTTTTCTGCAATTGCACGTATGTATGTATAGTGAAGGGTTTCTCCAATTGCACGTATGTATGTATAGTGAAGGGTTTCTCCAATTGGCCTTATGTATGTATAGTGAAGGGTTTCTCCAATTGCACGTATGTATGTATGGTGAAGGGTTTCTCCAATTGCACGTATGTATGTATAGTGAAGGGTTTCTCCAATTGCACGTATGTATGTATAGTGAAGGGTTTCTCCAATTGCACGTATATATGTATAGTGAAGGGTTTCTCCAATTGCATGTATGTATGTATAGTGAAGGGTTTCTCCAATTGCACGTATGTATGTAGTATGTATGTATAGTGAGGGGTTGCTCCAATTGCACGTTTGTATGTATAGTGAAGGGTTTCTCCAATTGCACGTATGTATGGATAGTGAAGGGTTTCTCCAATTGCACGTATGTATGTATTGTGAAGGGTTTCTCCAGTTGTATGTATGTGTATTGAAGGGTTTCTCCAATTGCACGTATGTATGTATAGTGAAGGGTTTCTCCAGTTGGACGTATGTCAGTGTATTAAAGGGTTTCTCCAGTTGGACGTATGTGTGTATGGTGAAGGTGTTTCTCCAGTTGGTCTTATGTATGTGTATTGAAGGGTTTCTCCAATTGCACGTATGTATGTATAGTGAAGGGTTTCTCCAGTTGGACGTATATATGTATAGTGAAGGGTTTCTCCAGTTGGCCTTATGTATGTGTATTGAAGGGTTTCTCCAATTGCACGTATGTATGTATAGTGAAGGGTTTCTCCAGTTGGACGTATATATGTATAGTGAAGGGTTTCTCCAGTTGGTTGTATGTATGTATAGTGAAGGGTTTCTCCAATTTGACGTATGTATGTATAGTGAAGGGTTTCTCCCGTTGGACGTATGTCAGTGTATTAAAGGGTTTCTCCAGTTTGACGTATGTGTCTATGGTGAAGGTGTTTCTCCAGTTGGCCTTATGTATGTGTATTGAAGGGTTTCTCCAATTGCACATATGTATGTATAGTGAAGGGTTTCTCCAGTTGGACGTATGTATGTATAGTGAAGGGTTTCTCCAGTTGGCTGTATTAATGTATAGTGAAGGGTTTCTCCAGTTGGTTGTATGTATGTATAGTGAAGGGTTTCTCCAGTTGGTTGTATGTATGTATAGTGAAGGGTTTCTCCAGTTGGACGTATGTATGTATAGTGAAGGGTTTCTCCAGTTGGACGTATGTATGTATAGTGAAGGGTTTCTCCAGTTGGTTGTATGTATGTATAGTGAAGGGTTTCTCCAGTTTGACGTATGTATGTATAGTGAAGGGTTTCTCCAGTTGGACGGATGTATGTATAGTGAAGGGTTTCTCCAGTTGGTTGTATGTATGTATAGTGAAGGGTTTCTCCAGTTGGTTGTATGTATGTATAGTGAAGGGTTTCTCCAGTTGGTTGTATGTATGTATAGTGAAGGGTTTCTCCAGTTGGTTGTATGTATGTATAGTGAAGGGTTTCTCCAGTTTGACGTATCTATGTATAGTGAAGGGTTTCTCCAGTTGGACGTATATATGTATAGTGAAGGGTTTCTCCAGTTGGACGTATATATGTATAGTGAAGGGTTTCTCCAGTTTGACGTATGTATGTATAGTGAAGGGTTTGTCCAGTTGGACGTATGTCAGTGTATTGAAGGGTTTCTCCAGTTTGACGTATGTGTGTATGGTGAAGGTGTTTCTCCAGTTGGCCTTATGTATGTGTATTGAAGGGTTTCTCCAATTGCACGTATGTATGTATAGTGAAGGGTTTCTCCAGTTGGACGTATGTATGTATAGTGAAGGGTTTCTCCAGTTGGACGTGCACCTTCTCTTCGGTGTTATTCATACTGCTTTTATTTACTGGGTTATAAGCGCACCTGGTCTGACAGGTCATGTGAGTTTCTGCCGTCGCAAACTGCCCGTCGTCGTGGTCCATACACTTACCTTATCACCGAAACGGCTTGGTGGATTCTGCTGAACTTTTGTGTAGATATTTATTACTATAAGGGGTTTCACGTTTGTTCAATGCATCAAAATGGAATTTCAATAAGGTCGCCATCTTTCATTAGTTGAATTCAAATGCGGCTGCCAGTTGCCATGTTGGAAAATACAGAAAACTGTGAGTCATCCGTCGAAAACAGCTCCTCAGAAACCACAGGACCAATGCAACTGAAACTCCAAACGCACCACTAATAATTACACCAGAATTTGGTGAAGAGGTTCGAATGCGATGTTCAATATATGCCTCGACCATGACTCAGTTGTTTTAATTCAAATGTTTCTTTTCTTTCGATATGCATATAACATTTGAATATCAGTGGTGACTGCAACCTTTTTTCTGTGGCTGGTTTTGAAATTGTAGACTTACATACACAGGTGAGCTACAGTGTCGTGGGACTATATTTCGAAGAAAGAAATGATACTTCTAAACGAACAGGACTTCATTTTCTCAGGTGCCGTTTACTACAACGACTGCTCCCTTGAGCCCCGCCTTTTCGTCTATCTATTGGTCAGCTCATCTCTCCTTCTGTTGTATCTACCAATCATCGCCAATCTGGGGCAGAAGGCCCTCGGTTTGAAAGTGTACATCCGCCTCATAACGTTCCTACAGCTTGTTGGACTTTGTTTCGGTGAGTAAGACTACACAACTGACCACTGTCACTGTTCTACTTACGTGATACACAATATTAACGATTGAATACTTTGTCATGCCGTTTTAATATCAAATATTTGGTAGTGTAGAAGTCGGTACTGGAATCTTGCTGGGCATGGTTCGTAGAGTATTATAGATAATACATTGTTTTAAGAGCACTTTTCGGGACGGAATATTAGGCTATCAGTGTCCCATGCATGGGGTTTAACGTCGCGTCCAAGATAATTGCACTTATATAGCGACGTGCATGCACGTGTATGTGTGTGTGTGTGGCTGCTTGTACTAGTCCGGACTGATGCCGATTTATAGTGCTAGCACACTGAGATATCATGCCGCAGTTTAACATGAATACCCCACTTAGACACAGTATACTGACTCCGAGCCGACCAGTCCTTGTTTTAGCCCCTTAAGTACCATCTTTTCACGGCTTTTGGTATGACGCGGCCGGGGATCGAACCCCGAACCTTCCGCTCTCCGGGCGGACGCTCTACCACTAGACCATGGAGGCGGTCCGACCTCGCCAAAGAGATCCCAGTACAAAAATCCTTTGCAAAAATTGTGTTGAAGATGAATGTCACATTTTGTTTCACTGCCCATTATATGATGATTTTAGAGATATGCTTTTTAATGAACATGTCTTTAAATGTGATAGTTTTTAGATACTAGTATGTCAGATGTTGATAAGCTTTGATTGATATTGGGTAATAATGATGTCTGTTTCTTAACTGCCAAAATCTACTTTTTAATACTTAATCGGCGAAAGAATGTATTGTATGGTTAATGTTTTATACTGTTTTAATATATACTTTTTATTTATCATTTATATAACAGTCTCTCATAATTCTTCATAAATGGTTCTGTAACATAATTTTACAAATATTGTTTGTAATAATCATGCCTTTCTGTCTGTCTGTCTGTCCGTCTGTCTAGTACCCTTGCTTATTGCAAGAGCCGAGTATTATACAGGGATGGTGAGATTACAGTTATGTTTTTGTGACCTAGTTGGTTAGGTGTGTGTGTAGACGCTGGTGTGCGTTATAGTTGCCTTTTGGACCAGATTCGATTGCTCACAGAACCCCCTAACATTCCTGACTGCATTGTAAAACAACATTTTCATTCCTATTTTGACGATATAACCCTAACCTCATTTGTGCTTTTCACCAACACAGGCAGTTATCTCCTCTATAACGTCCACATTGGACGCCAGAACAACCAGCTGCAGGATGTCACGTCCAAGGTCACCCCCAAGGTCACGTGCAATGACGTCATATTCAAATTCACCGCAGCAACCATAGGTGTGGAGTGGACATATATTTTCGTGTCATTTTTGGCTCGTGGTTTTGTGACTGTGTTGTTTCATCTAGTCGTTGTTTTACTGAAAACTGTTTTTAAGATGTTGTTTTCAATGATGCGACACGACAAGAAGGAGAAAACCTCATGATCGGAATGACACTTCTTAACACAATTTCTATTTTATTTAATACTTTTACTGAACAAGTTATATATATTTACGTTTATTTAGGAAAATTGTCAGCTGTTTGTAAAGTGTCTGCAGTGATGACTTCCCGAAATGCAGAATTTTGTACTTGTGACTGATATGTTTTCCAGTGGAATAAACGAATATAAGCTGTTTCGTTAGGGCGTTTGTTTTTAGGAAACCTCCAGATATTATCTTTGCCCGAATAATATGGTTAAGTTGGAACAGTGGGTATCGTCTGAGTGAGTGAGTTTGGTTTAACGCCGCTTTTAACAGTATTCCAGTTATATCGCGGCGTGTCAGCTTAATGTGCTTCACACATTGTACCCATGTCGGGAATCGAACCCGGGTCTTCGGCGTGACGAGCGAACGCTTTAACAACTAGGCTACCCGGCCGCCCCATGAAGGATATGAACGTATACACCGTAAGACTGAGTGCTCCTGGATTAATGCCGGTTTTATTGTGTTATAACCCCCTGAGATGCCATGCCGGAGTTTAAGATGCATACCCCACTCAGACACGGTATACTGACTCCGAGCTGACCAGTCCGTGTTTAAACACTTAATGCCGAGCGCCATGCAGGGTAACAACATCTTTTAACGTCTTTTGGTACGACGCGGCCTATCTCGAACCACCGACCTTCCGCTCTCCTGGCAGACGCTCTATCCACTAGATAGTGGAGGCGGTCTGCCAGGTGATCAAACCACCGACCTTCCGCTCTCCTGGCAGACGCTCTATCCACTAGATAGTGGAGGCGGTCTGCCAGGTGATCAAACCACCGACCTTCGGATCTCCGGTCAAACTCTCTATCCACTACGCGGTAGGATATGGAGGTAAAATATAACGTCGCAACGTTAACTTTTCAGCCACATATAACGACAAGATTTGAATGAGGGTAATACTACACCCATACAATGACCTAATCACTTGCAGTTGCTCAGCGTGATTATACTCACTTGGTCCTCGTCGCGGTGACAGTTGCTATATTCACCGGTCGTAGGGCGTAACGGGAGCTTAACGACGAGGATCCATGATCTACTCTGCTCAGTTGAGGCGTGTCTGATCATCAGGGTTTTCCCAAGCTACATGTATTGTCGTGCAGTGAGTGAGGCAGGTTTCGACCGTATTTCAATATGCCACGCCGTACTGTCAGAGGGAAGGCAAAGTGACGCACGCCAGTGACGTGTACTACTTTGATGCCGCCAGGATGGTTGGTTGGTTTGTTATTTAACGCCGCACTCAGCAATATTCCAGCTATATGACGGCGGTCTGTAAATAATCGAGTCTGGACCAGACAATCCAGTTATTAATATCATGAGCATCGATCCACGCAATTGGGATCCACACACACACACACACACACACTGACACACACTGACACACACACGTCACCCATTCCCTTTTATGTTGATGTCAGTCACTAGATTGTCTTTAGCTGGACTATCTGGGTGAGGCGTTAAACAAAAGAACCCCACCTATTCCCTTTTTGTCATGTTGTAACCACTATCTCTGCATGTAACCAATATGTATGTATGTAATCAACACGTTTGTATAAAACCTTTATGGTTGTATGTAACCAACAATTGTGTATGTAACCAGTATGTCTGTATGTAACCAGTATGTCTGTATGTAACCTGTATGTATATAACCAGTATGTCTGTATGTAACCAGTATGTCTGTATATAACCCGTATGTGTGTATGTAACCAGTATGTCTGTATGTAACCAGTATGTCTGTATGTAACCAGTATGTATGTAACCAACAAGTGTGTATGTAACCAGTATGTGTATGTAACCAGTATGTCTGTATGTAACCACTATTTCTGTATGTAACCAGTATGTGTGTATGTAACCAGTATGTCTATGTAACCAGTATGTCTGTATGAAAACAATATGTCTGTTTATAACCAGTATGTGTGTATGTAACCACTTTTTCTGTATGTAACCAGTATGTCTGTATGTAACCAGAATGTATGTATGTAACGTATGTCTGTATGTAACCAGTATGTCTGTTTATAACCAGTATGTCTGTATGTAACCAGTATGTCTGTATGTAACCAATATGTCTGTATGTAACAATATGTCTGTATGTAACCCGTATGTATGTATGTAACCCGTATGCATGTATGTAATATGTATGTATGTATGTATGTATGTAACCAGTATGTCTGTATGTAACCAATATGTCTGTATGTAACCAGTATGTCTGTATGTAACCAGTATGTATGTATGTATGTATGTATGTATGTATGTATGTATGTATGTATGTATGTGTCTATGTAACCAGTGTGTATGTATGTAACCGGTATGTGTGTAACCAGTATGTCTGTATGTAACAATATGTCCAACCAATATGTCACGTAGCTATTGTAACTGCGGCGTTAAACAAAACTCACTCCTCAATTCACACACCAGTACAACGGATGCCCCTATATCCCGTGACGAACTTGTGACGCGCGGTGACTACACTCAACTACACAAACAGGAGGCTTCACTCTCACGGTCGGCTTGTAGGATATAGTTTGTTAATGAAAGGTGTGTGATTATTGTAGGTTTCACAAAGCTCACATACACAGGTGGGTAATTTTAAATATCTGTGACGCCCGATATATGTCGCAGTTACGCTGCTTTTTGTAAACAAAGGGGCGTGTCTTCACTGTTAGCCCAATTAAGGTCACATGTCAAGGGTCATTTACTTCTCCCACACACACCTCACACTTGTAGGGACAACTATCTGTGTATATTCTATTTTGTTCTATATTGGACAGTATAGATCCCACGATTAACCGTGCAGGGAGTTGCCTCCCTTACCCTTGCCAGGATATGATGCTCGTGGTTACAAATATCAAATGTGCCCAAAGTCTTATACTATACTTGTGATCCCTGATTTCATCAATGGGGTAAAGGCTTCCCCCTCATTATGCTGACGCGCCATGATATACTATTATTCAAAGCTACGTTAACCGAACACAACTAATGATTTTTCAGATAAGTTCGATAGAATTTGGAGCAGGAGTATCAGATCTATGTTAATAAGCCAAAGAAGAGGATGGATTGTGGTTTTAACAGACCATTTTAAATCATCACTCAAGACCTGTACTAAGTCTTATTGCACAAATTACGATGTTGTGATGCAAAATGTCCCGTATTCAATGCTACATTTCCGACATATGCTGTGGATGTTACATCTGCTATAATTGCGACACGTGCTATGACTCCTGCATATGCTATAATTACGACATATGCTATGGATGTTACATATGGTATGATCGCGACATATGCTATAAATGATATGTAAAGGCTATAATTGCGACATATGCAATGAATGCTACATATGTTTGTTTGTTTGTTGTTTAACGCCACACTCGGCAACATTCCAGCTATATGACGGCGGTCTGTAAATAATCGAGTCTGGACCAGACAATCCAGTGATTAATATCACGAGCATCGATCCGCGCAATTGGGATCGATGACATGCATCAACCAAGTCAGCGAGCTATATATGTGCTATAATTTCGACATATGCTATGAATGCTATATAAGGCATATTTGCGACACGTGTGGTGGAAGCGATTAGTGCTATGAATGCTATAATATGTT